GCTAACTTTTCTTTAAAACATAGGAATTATTAGTATGTAAATAGTTTTAAAAAATATCGCATTTCATAAATATTTGCTATATTATTAACGTGTACTCACTGTCACAGGCTAGTTACTGCTTCAGAAGAGGCGTTTCTTTTTGTCAGTTAAAACAAAGGTAAAAATTCAAGTCAAGAGGATCACATATAATTCAAGAGGTTTAGATATTTGTTGAAGTTTTTAGATTTTGGGTGACGATCCCTATCTATATATATATATTACTAAAACTACCGTGTATAATTTCTAGTATCAATTAAAAAGTGAAACATAAACCCAGAACATACACCAAGTTGCCTTATCTTACTCTACATTGAAAACTTCTAAGTGGTATTCAACTCAACGTGTATTTTGAGAACTTGACCAATTATAACTTGGACACGTGGCTCTTTGACCAAAACTATTTTCCAATAAAAATAAAGAAATAACATTTTGAAAGATGAGACCCATATTGAACCTATGAATGCTAAACAACAAAGTAAAGTAAAGATTTTTTGAGTAAAATATCAAAAGTAATAATTATAATGGCTACCACATTAAGTAAATGAATTCTTGTAACTCAGTATATACAAGTACGTGACACGATTGCTATCTATGGAAGACGAAGAAAAAAGAAGTTATTTATTAGCCAGTAAATTATTTTACAAAAAATTAGTATTTCACAAAGACTTTATGACACTCTTCATATAGGTTTGAAACTCAATGTTCTGAAATAACTCCACGTTTAAAAACCCTCGCTGACTCAGCAATATCTAATAAAAAGTTTTGAAAAACGGTGAAATTTCTTATCCACCAAAATTTCAGATTTTTCGCAGGTGCAGCAAAGGTAACATGAAAATAACCAATTTTCGGATGCAGTAACTTTTTTCTTGATCTAGTTGTGATATGTAGATATATCCAATATTTTTTATCTGCTTTAGCGTTATAGAAATTTCCTTTTGTTTATTTAATTTGTATGCAGTTTTGGTATAAATACGTGATTCAGAAAGTCGTTGAGAATACCTTATTTTAGTTGCTTTGATTTGTTCTCTATAGTAGATAATGTTTATTATGCCCGAAATGATACTGCAGTAACATATAGCATCCAGGTTGAAAGAAGTAGCACTGTAATATATTGTTGCGTCAGCGATGTCACATGATTAGTGTCACGCCACGTTTCTAGAACTATCCTGTACCTTGGCGAATGCTCTAGCATTTACTAGATATAGTGTAGGCTGGTATATAAAAGAGGGTGACAACGTGACGGGACAATAATGTGTGTGTAGGTAATGAGTAATTGAACTGCAGTCAGAGAGAGACGTATTGTTGAAGTCTAGCTCGTGATACGTGAATTATAGTTTGTTATAGCGCAACTGTTGAAGTTGAGTGTATCGTAAAGTTATATTCAGAAAGAATAAACCAGTTGTGTCGCTAAAGTTTCGTCGGAACGAAGTTACGGAAAGTTAATTAACAAACGGAGAGGTAACAATATTTTGCTGGACGAGTTGACGTTGTCTAAATGTAACAGCTTACTAGTACTATGAGAGAACAATGGTCACGATGTAGACTGGACAAAGAAACCGAGATTACTTGTTCAATTCAGGTGATATTGCTTGGTTTAGTACGACAGTGATGAATCCCAATACGGAGAAAAAAAAGTTGTGGAACTCCGTACAAGCTAGTACAAGCCACTTTCTTTCTATGTGCACAAGTACATACACTGTGTTTTACTCTATTTGTCTGTTAATAATGATTAACAGTACAATGACATACAACTACTTATAAGCATATTGAACTAGTTATATTTTGGGGAACCAGAGGCGTTTCTAGGTGCCTAAAAGATTCGGGGCCGAACTCGCTGGAAGTTTCGCCGTTTCAGTATGATATCGATCATGGTTTTCTATTCTGATTTTTAAAGAGCATCAAATGGATTCGGGGCATTGTTAAATAAAATCGGAGCACGAGTCCCGTGTGCTAATGCCTAAATATATCTCTGTTGGGAACACACTACATGTTTCGACAGAACATTGGTCTGTTCTCTTCATGTGTTTCTGTTTAAACATGTAGTGTCCAAACAAATAAAACAACTTCATTATGCTTATAAATTGTTTTCGTCAATTCACTATTACATTAGCATAATGTGCTTCCGTTCATAAGTGAATAAATAATGATTGTTTTAATTTTTACCATTATTTCACACACTCTAGAAAGGCTCAGCTGTTTGATTCAGAATTACTCTTCTTATTTTCTGAGCAAATCTGCAGTTATTAGCATGTTGGTAAATCAGTTTATACTTGAAAATAATATACATAGTCGTACAAGGTCAGAGGCTCTTCTAAGGAGGGTGTTGCCGTAGAATTTCTTAGATTTTTATAAATGTGTTCTTTAGTAACAGTGATCATGTGAAGTTTTAGGAATACGTAGAGGTTATTATGTTTTTAGCCGCTGCATAAGGAGTCATAGAACGTCCCTCAGTTTGTTTTCCAAGTACAAACTTTTAGCTCATAACTCAGTTATGTCTTGACCGATTTGACATATAATTACAGTTTCGGACACAGGAGGTCAAACCCTTTCGATTGATGTATTCGACCACGCCCAAGGCCTCATAGATTAATTTACTCTAATCTTGCCTAAAATAATTTCAGTTTAAATGTAGGCTGGTAGAGATCCTTATTCGGGTATAGGCGCGCCCCACACTTGGTATTACTATCGCACAAAAATATAGCTAATACAAAGGAAAAAACGTCTCATAGATTAATTTACTCTAATCCTGCTTGATAGAATTTCAAGCGCCGTGGCTATTGAGGATTCCTTCCTGTTTGTTACTTATGGGGTGATCAAGTGCTGTGGGTGATGAAGTCATATTTGACCTTATTGTACGACCTATATAGTGGTAGCTGACCTTATTGTACGACCTACATAGTGGTTAATTATTTTACTCGTATTCAAACTTTTATCTAGCACAGATATTTAAAAACCTAGAGAATTATGCACGTTAGACTGAGACTGTTTGTTTGCTTTGTGTCATGCAAATATTACACATCTTATTATCCTATAGTATGTATTCCTTGTCTACAAAATTAATTATTTCTAAAGTTTAATTTTTGATCATAGATACCTGGATGAAACCCTGTGCAAAATTCAGTCTGAGATGCTACTTTTTGTAGCTCTGCTGTTCAAGGAACTTATCTGCTGCTTCATGAAATAGTTGTATTGTGTCCTCCTTGACCTTGTGTTTGGAAGCTACCTTGCAACTGGAACAGAGATAATTCTAGTACAGGACTGTCCTATGTGCCTACTACACCTTTAAGTAAGATGTAGTTTGTTTAAAGATTATGGCTTCAGTTTCAGAATTTTTAGTTTTAATGCACAGATCCGCTCAACTTTCCCTGTTTTGAAAGGGCATAATATGTGGATTTGCTAATTAGCACTTAACCAACTTTCTTGCAGGAAGATAGCACATGGTCTCAAGAAATAGAACGTAATTTTTCCTGTTGGTGAATTGAATAAGGGTCAGCGACAGCCGTGACCTAGGATTAAAATCTCAGTGGGCATAGATCTTGAATTTGAGGTGCATTTCATTCCAAACTTGGTTTTGTTTGTTTTTCTATTTAAAGCCACGTTTGTTCCAGCAAAAATTTTTGTTCACAATATTAATAGATAATTTTCATAAGGGTTTTCAAATGCTCACAATTTGTAATAAAGTATCACAGACATAACTTTTAAATATTCTTTTAGCTTGCTTTTCTTTTGACTTGCAGGATCTTGTGTTTTTAACTTCCACTGAGTGAAATAAATTATTTGTTGAAATCAACTTATCAAACTTTTTTTGCTTAAGACACCTGTATACATAGTCTACAATTTCCACGGCACCTCTAACATTTTATAGCCTCATTAACAGTGGCGTTACCAGGGGGTGGGGCATGGAGATTATCCCCCCAAAAAGTCTCATGTAGAAAAAAAAATAGATATAGTACACAAAAATCTTTTATTCTGGAAATCCATACTGTAACAATATTTAAATTACGTCTAAAGTCATGCTATCGCTCAAAGTAATACAAAACCAGAGATTTTCAAAGTCACGAAATGAAGAAAAACAAACACCCTTAGAAAGAACATGTAATTTCTTCTCAATGTCACCTGTACAGGAGTTTCTTTCTTCACAAAGGCCTAACATTGTGCAAGAAAACGACAGGTAAGCTACATAAACACTTGGATATTGTTCACACTGTTTAAGGAAATTAGTATGGTCAGCCTCATTTTACCTTTTGCAGTTTTTACACTTAAAAAAGATTGATATTGGATAACTACCCCTCCCTTTGAAGATGAAAATAGAATATATAAAGTGGCCATTTAAATGGTCTTTCTAATACTACAGCTTATAAAACAGTTTATACTTGGTAGATTGAACAAGTTACATACTATAGTGGTCCTTTAAAACAGTTTATACTTGGTATATTGAACAAGTTACATACTACAGTGGTCCTTTAAAACAGTTTATACTTGGTAAATTGAACAAGTTGCATACTACAGTGGTCCTTTAAAACAGTTTATACTTGGTAGATTGAACAAGTTACATACTACCAGTATGTAACTTGTTCAATCTACCAAGTATAAACTGTTTTAAAGGACCACTATAGTATGTAACTTGTTCAATCTACCAAGTATAAACTGTTTTAAAGGACCACTACAAAACTATCCACCTGGATTACATCCGTACTTCGGAGGAGAGACAATGCAGAAGCTTGACTCGCAAGTATAAACTGTTTTAAAGGACCACTGTAGTATGCAACTTGTTCAATTTACCAAGTATAAACTGTTTTAAAGGACCACTGCACAGGTTAGAGCCATGTGTTACTGCACTAATACCCTGTCTGACAAAAAGTCTGGTGTTAACATATTTCTTTTTTCATCCAGAAAAGGTCCATTTTCTCCTTCTTTCTTAATAAGCTACAGGACATCAGATTTTCAACAGAAGCTGACAAGCATTTAAAGTTTGTGTTATAATACAGTAAGTACAGACAAGAATCAATTCCAAGAATAAAACTTTTATTTCGTTTCATTAAACATATATCTACTCCAAGTTTGACTTATTTTTCTACAGTATTTTTCCTTCCCAGTCCCTTGTACTGTAATACCTTCATGACAAGTGTTAAAAATACCTAAAATTGTACCATTTTTACCTGGAGAAGACACAGGTAAATTGCACAGTTAAATGAGGCTTACATTATAAATATATGTTAACTGTAAAAAGAAACTTCCACGTCAATCTAGATGATGAATATTATTTTATCGACTATTTGTAATTCATTATGATTTATTTATACTAAAATCGACTATTCTCAGACTTCACACAGTTCAGTAAAAACACTCAGATCTATGGCACATTTCTCCCATCATTAAGTTTTAATACATAATTTTGAACATAAATTTATGTTTTGTTACTATTAATTCAGTCGTTTCATTACAAAACAATACCCACCATCTTCAAAGTTTATAATTAAGAAATATCACAAGATTTCTATAACTAGATTAGCCCATTTCATGACATATGATAAGATTATACAAAGCAAACGAACTTGAGATTTATATCCAGCTTTAAGAACCTATTTCTTAGAAGGGAAAAATAATCACATAGGAATGAACATACAGATTTAAAATTACTTGACATTCTAGTGAAATATGAATGATTGAAATTTTATATAAAAATCTGAAACTGGTATAGTTGTCCAACTAGTTTTTATTATTCGGGTTTGACATCTACAAGCAGCCAAGTATACAACGATTTATGTTGCCTCTCCACAACCTTGTACTTCAAACTGTTTAGTCCATCAGTGCTATATCGTTGATAGCCAGATCTCAGAAAGTGTATCCTATTGGGAATAAGAAATAAAAACTGTTAACTAAAAAACATCCCACTACGGGAAGTATTGCAGTTTAGAACAAGAGAACAAAAGTGATACATAAGTCTCAAAATATATTTAAGTTTGTAAAGGATTACAATTTTTTGATTGAGCCTGCAGAACCCCATCAATAAATACTAATAAAAATACACAATGTTTTAAATGATTTATCATTTCTTACCCAAACAAATACAGTCATATTAAAAAATAATTGAGTTTTATATTGATTTCCTGTCACGAATAAAGCCAAATGAGAAATATCCGATACCCTGAAGTTACAATGTTTGTAATTTTAGTTTAAATATCAGAATTATAAGACTTTAGCTTAGATTTCTGAAGAATCGATGTGAAAATCTGAATTCTTAGCAGTTTGAAATATTCAACATCGCACGTTTATATCGTATTAATGGTCAGTATAAATTGTATCTAATGTTACCCACAATTCCTTGTTAGTAAATTAAGTTTGTTCTGGATAACAAAAAGTTAATTTTCGTATAATAACAGCGTTTCTACACGTATGGCTGGTCTCTCATTTAAGTTTTCTCCAAAAATATTTATTAGCGTCGATTCTTTGGTAGAAAGTTAATATGTGTTGAGCTACTTATTACAGGAGAGATTCCTTAATATTATATATATATATATATATGATCAAGAAAAGATTCACAAACCTATTTGGATCGGGGACAGCTTTGGAGTGAAACAACATGGTGTAACGAGACAGGCTAGGCTCCCAACGGGTGATTGAATAACCCATGTTTAGTATCCTGAACAAAGAAGACTATTTGAATATCATAAAATTTTCTGAATGGCAGTACAACTGTAAGTAACACACAGTTTTCAGAACTGGATATTTTCAGGCTTAGTGTTTCAACTGTATTATGTTCAGTGTTTCACGTAATTATGGTTTTTTGTGTTAGAATTATTAGGGTTGGTTGTTCAGGCCCTAAATGGCAGTACAACTGTAAGTAACACACAGTTTTCAGAGCTGGATATTTTCAGGCTTAGTGTTTCAACTGTATCATATTCAGTGTTTCACGTAATTATGGTTTTTTGTGTTGGAATTATTAAGGTTGGTTGTTCAGGCCCAATAAAGAGCAGTGATTTGAGTTATCTGAGCAGGACCCAAGTTTAAGAACTGTCTAATTAATTGTGGAGTCATCATTAACACTATGTCATTCAAGGATATGACTGTTTGAGAATCTATTATTCAGTGATACTCTTATATAATGTAGAACAAAACCAACAGTTCCTAGGCCTTCTCCTTCTAAGTAACCAACATGTATCGATATCACTATATCCAAAAAAACTGCTCACAACAGCTATACTCTGGGCTGTACTACATACATAAACAATTATGACAGAGAACCTACAACAATATACTGAGCTCCAGTGTTAAAGGAATGGCAATGAGCAGCTTAAACATACAGAATGTAGAAATACATAACTTTAAAAATAGTTGTTTTTAATGTGTAGATTCCTACACCAAAAATATATATATATATCAAAATATTTGAAAGATCCACGAAGAAGTGAAATATTTTGGGCTAGATAAAAGTTTTATCAGCACTCATAATTTAATTCGTAAGTTCTCAACCGGTGGGGCAAGCTCACCCGTGGAGATGCAAATGTTTGAATGATGCTATCATAAGTTAGAAAAAATAGTAATTTTAGAAAAAAAAAACAAAAAATTACAAATTAGTCCTCTACTATTATTATTTTATTTTATTTCTTTAACCACACTTTTTAAACAGAGAACCAATCAGGGGCAAGTTTGCACTTTTGTTTTCTTTAGTGGCTGCAAGTACCAAAAAACTTTACATTGGGACACGAGTACAAAAGGTTGAGAATCCCTGGCTTAATTTGTAAACTGCTCAAAGAATGAAAGGATAATTATACTATATGAAAAGTGGTTATAGAATAATGTCCGTCATCTATCAGCTGTTACAAATCAGGCATCATTCGTTGCCATGTGACCGAGTGTTTATACTATATATAAACATATAGTGGTCTCGTACAGCAGAGTTTTGTAAACTGCTCAAAGAATGAAAGGATAATTATACTATATGAAAAGTGGTTATAGAATAATGTCCGTCATCTATCAGCTGTTACAAATCAGGCATCATTCGTTGCCATGTGACCGAGTGTTTATACTATATATAAACATATAGTGGTCTTGTACAGCAGAGTTTTGTAAACTGCTCAAAGAATGAAAGGATAATTATACTATATGAAAAGTGGTTATAGAATAATGTCCGTCATCT